CTAATATTTCGTGTATGAAATTATTGCATAATTAAAAATTGTAAAAATAATATAATATAGAATTATACTGCATATTTGGTTACCAGTTACCAGACGAAATGTCAAAATTTGTTTTTGTATGGATTAGTTTAGTTGGTTTATCTTTCATACTGTGATTCCAATGATCGAAAACGATCTACAGCGCTAAGTGGAGTAGTAAAGCGGTAAGTAGAGTTTTGCCACGATACAACCCTGAAGTTATGCCTACCATCTGTCAGAATTATTTAAAAGCACATTTACATAGAAAATTGTACCTCGTTCAAAGTGGCAATTGACTTAACCTAAATTAAACGTCTTACGAATATACGATGTTTGTCAATCTAAATATCGCGTTTTATGAAAACCAATTCTATGTAAATAGGACATAATCTCAAAAAATTAGTCACTTCAAAAAATTCGTATGTCAATGGGGTATGTGTCTGGTAGCATTTCTGTGTTTACAAAAAAAAAAAAAACGGGTCATTTATTTATTGTCCTGACAATTGCAAAATCATCAAGGAAAAGCTAGTGTTTTTGTTTATTTATATTGTATGGTAAAGTGGATTTATTTATAAATTATGTATTTTACAAAGACTCGTAATTTATTTGACGTTTAGTCCAAGCAATTGACAATCCTAATTAAGCTTTTTTTTAAACATTTTTGGTATATATATATATGAGTTTATGCATAGTAAAATTAAGAAGGTTAAGTCATTACAAATAAGGATAACCATCTTAGGATTTTCTGCAATTTACCTTGTCAAATTTCAGAGCAATGAAAATGGATTTGTAACTCCTTGCGAGTCTACATTTATTTTTACATTGAACGTGTACAACGCGTTATTTAGATTGTCAATTTCTCTGATTATACGTCAAATTTACTCATTAACTTCTTGCAGTAGAATAAGTGTGTCCATATGAAAAAATAGCAAAACATTTGCATGTTTTTTTGATCAGCTGTTAAATGATAGGGTTCCTAAAACGCCTGGATTTAAAATTTGACGTTTACGCAAATTAATTTTTTTATAAACGAGCTTTATGTCTGCTTGACGTTTAATCAAAGGAATTGACAATCTAAATAACGAGTTTTAGGGAAACGTTTTCCATGTTAATAATAGCTTGTTTACATATTGACCAATCACAGTAAATTTAACATCTGTTTTCTGTTGTTAATTTATAGTGATTACTCATTGTTTACATCGAAAACGTCATACAAACATGACAAATCCGGTTGATTTCCATTGTCAATACCGTTACGTATATGAAATCTAATGGATTTTACGTAAACGCAATGGAATTGATAGTCGAATTTCATTCGATTTAAGTAAACGTACTTGAACATGTAAAATAAATGACGGTTTCTCGTGAAACGCTCAATTTAAGTGTCGGTGTCTGGGGCTCTTACTTGTGGCATGCCTTTTGTGTGGATTAAATGGTTTTGGATGTCATGGATCGGCTTTAAACGATACTCTCCCAGATGAACCATTTAGCATTTTTACAAATCCAAAATATAGAAACTTTCAGCTGTTATCTGCTTTTACGTTAAATCTACAATCTAGTAGCTTTCATTAGAGGTAAAACACTTCAAATCTAGAGAATTTCGTATGTGTAAACGTGGTTTTCCAATCGATGACAAACCTGCATCTTGACTAAAGTTTAAAGCATGACGCATGGTAGAAGAATTCAAGTAGTCGCATCGAATGTGACAATGAACTGTCAAACCAGTTTTGAAACTGAAAATTTTGAATTAAATGTTGTTCAAATTCGTTAAAATTGTTGAAAAATTCATACTTTAACAACCTACGATTGTAAGAAAAACTATGAAAACCTACTTATTTTTGAAAAACATTTAACATATCTATCTTCTCTAGTTCTTTATGTTCTTTAGTTGATGCATCTACCTGTATTCTTCTACCATGGGATTTAATGATCGTGATTGAATTGAAATATAGATGGCGCACATTCAATGAGACTTTTTGTTGATTAATTTTTTAGCTTGTTTACATATACAAAATATAGCAACTTTCGATTGTCATTTCCATTGCGTATACGTCAAAACTAGAATTTAGTAAATTTTATTTGACGTAACCCAGTTTTAATGCACAGAATTACTTATGGCTTTTTCGAGCCATGGCTGCCCTGAATGCTGACTAGAGTTTGATAGCTTCCCACTCTCATTTGAATGTGTGTTATCCGCGACAGTAACCAATCACAATAAATTTAAGGTATGTCCCTGTACGTAATCGTATTTTTACAAGATAAGTAATAATCAAGGGCATTGACAATCTAAAAGTACTTTTATATACACTCATGGTAGAAGAATATAGATAGACGCATTGACAAAGCTGCTGGGACAATGAACTGTCAAACTATTTTTGGAATTGAAAATCATGAATGAAAAATTATTTAAATTTGTGAAAATTGTTGAAAACCGCGAATTATAATAACCACCGAATGACGTCGTATAAGAAAACATATACATATCTACTTTTATTTGAAAAAATATTTAAATTTTTTTGACATATCAATGCTCCAAAGCTTTGATGCATCTACCTGTATTCTTCTGCCATGCATACACTCTACCCGGACTAACCCTGAAGAGTGGATTGAAGGTATCTTTTATATGGTCAGATTTATTGTGATTGGTCAATTATCATTTTATGTATTTTATATGTAAACAAAATATAAACGACGCGTTTCCATCTCTGAATACGGTGTTAATATATTTTGTGTGTGTATTTTTCTCATGCTGAAATTAAGAAGGTAAAGTCATTTCAGATATCCGTCTCCGCATTTTCTGTAATTTACCTTGTCAAATTTCTCTGAATAAATTCTGTGTATACAATGGATTTATAAATATAAATTTTGACAATGAATAATTTTGAAAAAAAAAATTGTAAATATTTGATAGCATGACTTTACCTTCTTAATTCTGCCATGATTTTTCGTATATATGTATATATTTATTCTCCATTTATTTATATGTCGTAAAACAGACTAAGGGAAATTTACGTTAAAAAAGAGATTCTTTGGAAGGGTAGGGAGTTAAATGAGGTAAATGTCAATTTTTCTTCTTATTCCTTTCCCCCCTAAAATTTCCCTGTTCTTTTCGACATCCCTTTCACTTTACATGGGTAAATTGGTATATATGTCATATGTCATGTATAGATTCATATTACCATTCGTTCAATCATTCATCATTGATGTACATATACACAAACATACATTCATATATATATGTATAATAAAACATTCATACACACACATATATGACACTTAAAACACTTACACACTCAGACACACCCTTATGTGTAAAATGTACAGCATTACATATTTGTATATAAAAAAACAAATATGTAATAATTATGTATTTATTTTAATTTTAATTATTATTAGATTTATTTAATTTTTTTTTGTACAATATTCTAACAAACTCCTTAATATTTATGTATGTGTGTTTAATTTTGGAAGGGATTTTCTTTTATTGCGATTTAGGTTTCGGGGGATTTCAATGTAGGATTGGATCTTCAGGGTATTTGTTTACGTTAACTATCGTGTTGTAATTAATGGGTGTTTCTTTTTTGTTGTTTTTTTTTTGGTTTTGTTTAGAATGGGGCACATAGGTCTCTTATATATAGAATTTATATATTTACATTTACTAATTACTTAATTAGATTTATATGTGTATATAATTATTTGTTTAATTTTTAATAGTAGTTTTGTTTTTGTTCTTAATTTATAATTATTTAAAACTAATTGTTTTATTTTTCATGGGAGATTTCTTTATTTTTTGGGAAAAATGGGGAAGTTAAGGGAATTTAAAGGGGAAAATCGGGGAATTTTATGGGAGTTTTGGGGATTTATGGAGACTTGGATTTTTAAGGGAAATCATTAAGTTCTTCGGACTTATGGGGTATTTAGAGAATTTTTTGAAGGGTTTAGAAGTTTGGAAATTTAAAATAATTTCTGTTGGGGATTTCAGGGAGATTTTGAGGGGATTTTTTTGTTATTAAGGAGTTTGTGTTAACTATTTTCTAGAGTCGTAGTATTTGTTTTTCTTATTTACGTTCTATATGTGTTTTTGTTGTAATTATTATTGTTGTTGTGTGTTTTATTACTATTTCTACATTCGCATCCACTTTTGTTTTAGCATTGACGCACACATCTCCACACACACACACGCACAGACACACATCCATGCTGAATCACACACACACACATTGTCCTCTTAACCATTAGCCACCTATGGCGCTAGATATAACCTCTTCCTATTTAGAAAACGATTTACAATTGGCCAATTTTGATAGGGTACTACTTGAGTTGCTGTTACAGACCCGTTCACGTTTCCTTGTGAATTTATTGCTACATGAGGTATTTGAAGATGCTGCCGATACGGAGGTGGGCACCGAAGCCGATGCGGTCATAAATGAAGTTGTTGCATCGGTGGTCATGGTGCCGGGCGGTGAAAAGGAAAACGATTGCGGCAAAGCGGTATAAATCGACAGAGAAGAGGTTGATGCAGAACTGCTCGTGGTGGTGGTGGCAACGGCCTCTGTTACAGCCATGGGTAGGGGTGGTGATGACTCTGCCAAAGATTCTGGGGTATTGGCATTCGTTTCGGCATCTTCTGCAATAACCGTTTCAATGATGCGCAGAGGCTCCCCGGCAACGGATTGATGGCACATGGCTGGTGGTGTTTGCTGGCCACCATAGCTACCGGAGTACAATGGTTCAGCATGATGGGGCGCCAGCGGCATATGTATTACCTGATGCTGCTGGTGTTGTTGTTGCTGTTGTTCTTGCTGCTGCACCATTTGCAGTTGGTGTAAACACTCCGGTGTTAGGGAGGCTGCCGCCGAGGAATTCCGCTTGAAATTTGGACTACGTATGGTGGTGTTGTTAACGCTGTGTTTGCTGGTCCTGAACTTGTTGATATTATAACTCTGGCTCGTCAGATTCAGATTAAGCATTTCAATGTCCACAATGGCGGCTATGGAGGTCCTTCGTCGTGTGTTCGTAGGTGGTGGTAGTGTTGAGACACTGCTCGCCTTGGCAGCACTGGCATTCGTTTGCTGGTGGTGTTGTTGTTGGTGATTGGCGGTGTGAGCGTTGGCATTGCTACAACTAGTTGTGGAGCGGTTGTCTTCTATTCAGCTGCCATACTTATTGGAAGATGTGTAATTATTAACTGCAGATCCATTAGATGACATATGAGTGTCAGGCACTAAATGTGGTGTTCTACTTGAAATAGGTGGCAAAATAGGACTTGTTGGCCAATGGTATGTAGTAGCAGCAACATTATTGGATGAGGGAACACTTCTATGCAAAAAGCAGTTTGGTCTTTGAGATTGTTTTTTGATTTTGGTTTTGACGGTTTTATTTTTGTTTTTTGTTTTGTTTTTTATTAAAAATGACATTAGACACGCACACACACACACAACATACATTTAATTGAATTTTAATTGTCCAAAAAAAAACAAATATCGATATTAGATGTTTACAACAAGAACAACAAGTTATTAATTGATTGAGATTTAATTGATCATTTTTTGTTTTTGATTAACGAAAGAATGAAAAAAGGAATAAAAAAATACAAATTTAGTTAAAAAAACGACATTTTGAATTGAATTCGAGTTAAACATGGCTTGATTATTTACATTGACTTTAGGCATGATTTGGTGGCAAATAGAAAATAGAAGAGGGGAGAAGATAGAGTGGGGGATGATGATGGTGGGATGTTAGTTTTAGTTTCGAAATATTTATATGTACAAATGCATGGGATGAGTTTTTTTCATATGAAGGATATTGGATGTCGGACCGGTGGGGGGAATATGATTTTGGGGTTTCGATATTGGGTTTCCCTTATACCCTTTCTTTGATATTTTTTTGTAAATAATTCAAAATATGAATTGAAGGTATCGAAGAAAATTTATTTCTAAAATGCTGATTTGATTTTTGAAGAGAGCGCGGGTGCTTGAGGGGTTGATTTAAACTGGTACTTTTACACCGAACCTACAAGGCCTATAAACGGCTGATGTAAACACAATGAAAAACCACTATTGTGATTGAAAACCCCTACAGTTGCTATCAGACGATAAGGTTTTTACACATGTGCTGTCAATTTTATTATCACTGTGTATGTCAAAAATGTTATTTTACATATGACTCATAACTCTTGCTATCATACCCTTCCATATGTTTTTTACTTCTTTTTGTTACATTGTGAAATTCTAGAAAAACTATAATACTGTATGGATGACTTTTTAACGCAAATTTAATTTTAACACAACAAAAAAACACTTTCGATTAAATTTTATTTTTCCAATTAAAATAGGGCTCGCTGTGATCGAAAAAGTACGTATGTTCAAATACTCACATATTAGCCCAACTGAAATGTCGTCCATGTATTACACGATGTGTGCAATTTTGACATATACAATTTTGACACCAAATGTCTAAAAAACATATCGTCTGATAGAGTCTTAATACTGGAACATTTCTCTTTACGTTTTCATTTGTTAAACTCACAATTTTTCATTCGTTAAACGTTTTCAGACCACGTTTACATTTATGTATATACGGGATGATAGCGACAGTTATTGGGGTTATTAGCTTAAAAAAAGTTCTTAGATTTAGTTAATTTCCATGGTAGAAGAATACAGGTAGATGCATCAACAACGCTTGGGAACATTGATGTGTGAAAATTTTTTATTTGATTCTTCAAAAATAAGTAGATTTGTATACATTTTCCTATACGAAGCCAATCTGAGGTTGTTATGATATTCATTTTTTAACAATTTTTAAGAATTTGAAAATGTTTTCATTAAAAAAGGTCAATTTCAGAATTGGTTTGACAGTTCATTGTTCCAGCAGCTGTGTCGATGCAACTACCTGTATTTTTCTACCAGGGTTAATTTCACTGAGCGCTCAATCTAATTAAGTTCTTGATTGAACTAGTTCATAGTTCACTTTCTAGTTCAATTTGTGGAGCAGAATCGAATCAATCATTCGTGAACTTTTCTACGCAAATTCTCTCAGATTTGTTAAAACTCCAGCATTTTTTATTTAAAGTTGACTTCATTTGTTGCAGTTGTTCAGCTGTGTGCCAATTGAAAACACAGTGGTGCGGAAAATAATATGAAGAAGAAGTTAAAAAAAGAAATATCAAGCACTATAAGTGTTGATATAAATCAACAAGGAAGACGGGCATCAAATTTATTAAAAACATATTTAGAAAGTCAATAGAGAGAAAGTGCTGACCTTATGCAATCGCTACGATTATTGTGCCACTATTATAAAAACAGAAGGGACAAAGAAGTGATTGAGTTGGGAACGTTTTTTTCTGTATTTTATTTGTTAACACATTAGTTCCAATGAATTTAAAGTAACATGCCGATTATATTTGAGGCAGTACATGAAAAGGTAGACTTCAATAATATAGCTGGGGCTTGGACGAAGGGTATAAATTTTATGTGTGGAAGGTATGATAGATGAAAGTTTTCATAATATTATACACTAGCTGACTTTTGTATCAAAATTCTTTACGAGTCATTCAACGATGACAATTGCCAAAAAATATAGCATTTTTGATTGACATTCATCGTAAAGTAGTTGAGTTTTTGGATTGGAACAGGAAAATAAAGATGATTTTATTTGGGACGTAGCACTTTCGAGTATACTTCAAGCATTTTAAATGAAGTAAACTTGAAATTTCCAAGAAAGGAAAAAAACTGTAGGTTAGACGTAGAAGACTTTAGTCGTATTCCAACAACCTGTGATTCTTAGCACCTAAGCAACACCTGTGATATTTATAATAAAATTAACTATTTTTTCATTTATTTATTAGTTTAATTGTTGTGTTTGTGAAAAAACCTTCGCGTAACAAAATCTAAATGTAGAAACTTGCCGAAAAAATGATTTATTTTATAAAAATATCCCTGAAGAATTTGGAAAATACCAACGAAACGTCGATTGAAAAATGAAATAAATAGTTTTTATTTTCATTAAATAAAACCTAAGACAAATTCTTAGATAATTCATAAAAGACTTTAGCTATATTTGAAGAAGATTTACTATGTATAGACAAGATTTACAACAAGGAAAGTTTTCCAGCTTTTCAAAGACATCAGGAATGTATAACGAACATAATCCTTTAAAAAAAAGATTTATTTATGTCAAGTATAAACCAAAAATTGAATTGACAAATAAATTGGAGAAGTTATCAAGTTGTATTATTATAAATTATTCTCGGAAGTTTGATGGTTAAATCGAGGTGTAAGTGTTTGACACATTTTTGATCTCAGAAATTAAGTAGTTGAGTTTTTGGAAGAAGAGAATATAGATGAATATTTATACTAAAAATCGAGGATTTTATTTTGGAACAATCATTTTTAGCTGATATTTCAATGAAGTAAATTTGAAACTTCAAGGAAAGGAAAAAGGGCAAATGAGACTGAAAGACTCTTGCTAAATATAAGGAAGATATACCTATACGTTGACAAGATTTACAATTTTTAGCTTTCCAAAGACACCATATATATACAACGAATATTATCCCAGCAAAATAGATTAATATATTTCAATTGTTAAACCAGTAAAGAAAGTCCTAAAGTCGGGCGGGGCCGATTTTATGATACCCTACACCACTTTGCTAATTTAGTTGAGCTCCTCTTAATAATTAAAAGTTTTTATGGGAGAATTCAATCATACACGCTATGATTATAATTATAATTTAAAATTCAAAGGACTAAATATGCCGAAGCATTTGTATCTATTAAACTCGGACTTGTATTGCCCATTTGGTACGAAATTAATTTGAAATCGGATAAAAATATAAATGGGAACTATATCCAAATCTGAACCGATCTCGATAAAATTTAGCAAAGGAATTTCTGAGCTGCATTTGATATATTTCCCCAAATATTGTTGTTACAGAGTGCATATTACGGCTGCGGAGGACAAAAATAACAAATCGGATGAACAATATATATGGGAGCTATAGCTATATCTGAACCGATTTCGATAAAATTTGGCATACTTATTTTCAGGCCTAATTTGGTTGTATGTGCAAAATTCCATACTATTCGGGCTGATATTACACGTTTGGTGCACAATAATAGGCAAATCGGACGAAGATATATATGGGAGCTATATCTAAATTTTTACCGATTATCTCCAATTTCAATAGGGTTCGTCCTTGGGCCAAAGAAATGTTGTTTGTACAATTTCATCTCATCTCATCTTGCACAATTTCATCTCATTTTGTTCACAAGAATACATGGACAGACGGACGGACTGACATGCATAAATCAACTCAGAAAGTGATTCTATGCAGATCATCAAAAGGAACTATGGGTCTATCTCGTTTCCTTTTGCCTGTTACAAACAAATGCACAAAGACATAATACCCTGACCACCTTGTGGTGTAGGGTATAAACAATTATTTAAAAAAGAAATTGGCGAAGGAGGAGAGTATATGAATGCCGCTTAGCTGATGTTTGATTGAGTACACATACACAACTAAAACAGAGAGTACAGAAGATATGCAAATGACCCATGTAAACTTTTTTTGTATAATTGGTTAAAAACTAAACCCGGTATTCAGTGATATGGGACGTTGGTGTTCCCCTGCCTTTTAAGCATGAAATGAAAAGTGATACTGATGTTCGGCTTTGTGAGAGAGAAACAAGAAAGATTTATTCGAAGGTTGCCAAACTTTTCGTTATACTTGTGGGTGATACCTTTGAAGGGACATAAGAAAATACTTTCTCATACCACTAAAATAATAGTAGCTGAACTGATCTTGTGTCATGACTTCTAAGAATATGATCACATTTAAATCGTCCTTCCGTAAAAATATCCCCTCTTCTTCAATGTAAACTCAGCAAAATTAGAAAGTCATTTGTGTAAACTACCCTAATGTTTGTACACTCGGAATATATTTTGAATTATTTACAAAATCTTTCGTTTTCGCTATGGAACCACCTTTTCTAAAACGTTTCTTGAAAAAAATTAAGACAAACAAATTAAAAAAAAATATATACGTCAATAAAAAAATATATATTTGTGGTGGATTGCATGAAATTATTATTTTCTCTTTGCTTTACAGGAAAATGGTTCATAAAAATTTTAATTTACTTGTTTTTACATTGTAGGTTAGGTTACCTAATAAATACCATTGATATGAGCCATTTGACCTTTTTCCAGGATAATGTTTTTTTCTTAGAATTTTCTTTTAATTTGCTCTATTTGCATTAAAGTGTCGCATGGGCAGTGGTGGAGGTGGCGGGGATGATACAGGAGGTTGTAGTGGTGGTGGTGTCGAAGGCATTTGTGAATTAGTTAATGATTTCGAGGATTTTTTACAGGGAATCAATGGCAATGTGTCGGAAGATAGCATATGGTGGTGGTATTGGTGATTGGAGGTTGAGGTGGTAGTGGTATTGTTGTTATTAAGAAGAAGATGCATTTGCGGATGTTGCTGCTGAATTTGTTGCGAAACTATGCCAGAATTGGTGTTGGAGAAAGCATTGAGTACCCACCTTGAATGTGGAAACTGCATTGATGGCGCATTGAACATCGGCGTCGGTGTGTGTGGCGGTTGCAATGATTGGGCCGCTGCCGTATCTGGATGTAAGAAATTTTTACGTTGCTCTACCCGTTCCTGATGTTGGCTCAAACATCTTGTTATTATCTCTGGCAAACTTTCCATGTGATCCTTTGTTGTCGACGTAGAATGGCGGGTGGAAGAGAGAGAGAAAAATATGTTAGTATTTCTTCAATGTTCAGCAAAAGATAAAATGAATATCATTAACACAGTACTTGTAAGGCTTGTAATTTATCCTCCAGATTGGTCAAACGTTCTTCAATGGCATCCTGTCGACTGGACATGTCCGATATTATTTCATACACAGTATTTTGAGTCTATAATGGATACAAAGAAATTATAAGTGATTTTTTGCGATTTTCTTTGAGACGATTTTTAATAACGAATAGTAAGGAACCCTATACCACATTTCTATGAAACTGAAGCGGTTAGTTAAAAAAAATGTTTTTGCTTTTTTAAAATTCTATTTATTAATTTATAGACTTGGATTTTTGTTCTGAATATGACTCTAGATTGAATATAACTCATATATGGATATGTATAAGTATAACCCTAGATAACCTTTCCCGGAGCTTCCTTAAAAGTACATAACGTATGCTTGGTATAAGTTTTTGTATAAATTCCCAGAAATATTTCAATATGTTTTATTTTGATATTATTTTATAGTAAGGACAACGAAGCAGTACTTGCCTCGACAATAGAAGGGTGTTGAAACCTGCAGTTTTTACCCCTGGCTTGAACTCAACCCCGAAGTTCCTCCTATATCTTATACTAGTTTGATAACCACACACAAAAATAATTAAATCCAAATTGTTTACCCTTTTTATACCCCCCACTATATTATGTAGGGTATATAAAGTTTGTTATTCCGTTTGTAACACCTCGAAATATACATTTCAGCATGAAATTTCATGTCAATTTAGCAATGTCCGTCTGTCTGTCCGTCTATGGAAAGCACTCTAGCTTGCGAATGACTTTTGGTATTGAAAATGGATCATGTAGGTCCATGTCTTCGTATAGCCCCCATATAACAGTACCATATGTGGTATTTTGATAATTTTATCGACATTTTTTACCGGAATAGTTTCAAAATTGGTATTTGAAGTTCATAATAGATACTACAGCATAGGACAGAAAATGGGCCATGAAGGTCCACGTCTTCGTATAACGTTACCTCCCGATATTCGGTATTTTGATGATTTTAGCGACATTATTACCGGAATTGTTTCGAATTTCGCATATGAAGTTCGTAATGAATACTACAGCCTATGACAGAAAATTGTTTGTGCAGGTCCATATCTTCGTAGAGCCCCTATATAACGGTAACTCACTTTATTCGGTATTTTGACGATTTTATCTACATTGTTACCGATTTTTTAAGTTTCGCATTTCTATGTTGTAATGGCTTATGACAAATGTTACTTATTCAGGTCCAGGTCATCGTAAAGACCCTAATATAACACATTCAATATTTTTAAGATTTTAACAGAGTTTTTAACGGATTTAATTGTTTTTGAGAAAAAATTCGTTCCAAATTGTGGAGGGTATTCAAAGCCTTTTTTACTTGTTTTATTCAAGTTTCGCATTTGAATATTGTAATGGTTTATGACCAATGTTACCTATGCAGGTCCACGTCGTCGTATAGACCCTAATATAACGGCTACATTTGATATTTTTAAGATTTTAACAGAATTTTTAATAGATTTTATTTTTTTAAAAATTGCCAAAATCGTTTCAAATGGTGGAGGGTATTCAAAGATCGGCCCGGCCGAACTTACAGCTTTTTTACTTGTTTTTCTAATTAAGGACACCAGCCGCCATGGTAGAAGTTGTCGTAGGTTTATCTAATCCTTCCAGTGTATCGAGTATATCAACCCCAACTCAAAGGAGTGGTAAAAACCCTAAGAGTTTATGTTAATCCTGCAAGTGAAGCGAGTTCATCGGTTCCTTTTCTTATGAGCAATAAAACCAGACCAACTTATTCGAGGGCACCCATACCGGAAACCAATTTATCACAGATATAGCAAGCTGGCAACAAAACCCTTGTCAACGGCTCGCGATATGAAAATGTTTTTTGCCTGAAGGTTTGCTCCAGACACTTCGGGTGAAGACATTTACTATTATATAAAATATAAGATCGAAGGTGAAATTTTTTTGCGAACATACAAACTTCGTTCGTTATTCTCAGAATGTAGGTCTTCATACAAAATTGTTGTCTTTCAAGAAATGTTTGGTAAACTAATATCGAAAGAATTTTGTCCCGTTATGGCATTTAAAAAAGAATCTGTCGAAAGATTAGGTAACGTAGCCCATCTACCTCAAAGCCCAGTTTCGATTTCCGAAAACTGATAACTGCGGGGGATAAATCCAAACTGTTCCGATGATTTGTAGACAGTTTTGGTTTCAAAAATCACATAAATCAGGGCTGTCACAGAAACCATGTCGGTTTTGCTTATTGTCGTTTTTGTAAACCAATGTTGGTTTCATTTGGTGTCATGAAACCAAGTTGGTTTTGTCAATTTCGAATGTAAATAAAACCAATGTTCGAAACAGCTGTTGTTGCTTACATGTGTTGTTTGTTTATTTGTCATTGAAATATCAGTAAAAGTAAAGTAAATAAAAAAAGAAATAAGTCGCTATAAATAACGTAAGATGACATCAGCAGTGGTAGTTTTTGTGTTGTTGGACGAAGAACGCTCAGAAAAGGTGTCCTTTAAAAATTCTTTAAAAAAATCCACGTTTATAGTCCTTTAAAAATTCTTTAAAAAAATCCACGTTTATAGTCCTTTAAAAATTCTTTAAAAAAATCCACGTTTATAGTCCTTTAAAAATTCTTTAAAAAAATCCACGTTTATAGTCCTTTAAAAATTCTTTAAAAAAATCCACGTTTATAGTCCTTTAAAAATTCTTTAAAAAAATCCACGTTTATAGTCCTTTAAAAATTCTTTAAAAAAATCCACGTTTATAGTCCTTTAAAAATTCTTTAAAAAAATCCACGTTTATAGTCCTTTAAAAATTCTTTAAAAAAATCCACGTTTATAGTCCTTTAAAAATTCTTTAAAAAAATCCACGTTTATAGTCCTTTAAAAATTCTTTAAAAAAATCCACGTTTATAGTCCTTTAAAAATTCTTTAAAAAATCCACGTTTATAGTCCTTTAAAAATTCTTTAAAAAAATCCACGTTTATAGTCCTTTAAAAATTCTTTAAAAAAATCCACGTTTATAGTCCTTTAAAAATTCTTTAAAAAAATCCACGTTTATAGTCCTTTAAAAATTCTTTAAAAAAATCCACGTTTATAGTCCTTTAAAAATTCTTTAAAAAAATCCACGTTTATAGTCCTTTAAAAATTCTTTAAAAAAATCCACGTTTATAGTCCTTTAAAAATTCTTTAAAAAATCCACGTTTATAGTCCTTTAAAAATTCTTTAAAAAATCCACGTTTATAGTCCTTTAAAAATTCTTTAAAAAATCCACGTTTATAGTCCTTTAAAAATTCTTTAAAAAATCCACGTTTATAGTCCTTTAAAAATTCTTTAAAAAAATCCACGTTTATAGTCCTTTAAAAATTCTTTAAAAAAATCCACGTTTATAGTCCTTTAAAAATTCTTTAAAAAAATCCACGTTTATAGTCCTTTAAAAATTCTTTAAAAAAATCCACGTTTATAGTCCTTTAAAAATTCTTTAAAAAAATCCACGTTTATAGTCCTTTAAAAATTCTTTAAAAAAATCCACGTTTATAGTCCTTTAAAAATTCTTTAAAAAATCCACGTTTATAGTCCTTTAAAAATTCTTTAAAAAAATCCACGTTTATAGTCCTTTAAAAATTCTTTAAAAAAATCCACGTTTATAGTCCTTTAAAAATTCTTTAAAAAAATCCACGTTTATAGTCCTTTAAAAATTCTTTAAAAAAATCCACGTTTATAGTCCTTTAAAAATTCTTTAAAAAAAATCCACGTTTATAGTCCTTTAAAAATTCTTTAAAAAAATTCACGTTTATAGTCCTTTAAAAATTCTTTAAAAAAATCCACGTTTATAGTCCTTTAAAAATTCTTTAAAAAAATCCACGTTTATAGTCCTTTAAAAATTCTTTAAAAAAATCCACGTTTATAGTCCTTTAAAAATTCTTTAAAAAAATCCACGTTTATAGTCCTTTAAAAATTCTTTAAAAAAATCCACGTTTATAGTCCTTTAAAAATTCTTTAAAAAAATCCACGTTTATAGTCCTTTAAAAATTCATTAAAAAAATCCACGTTTATAGTCCTTTAAAAATTCTTTAAAAAATCCACGTTTCTAGTCCTTTAAAATTAAATAAAAACATTTTAATTTCTTTAAAAAAATCCACGTTTATAGTCCTTTAAAAATTCTTTAAAAAAATCCACGTTTACAGTCCTTACAAAAATTCTTTAAAAAAATCCACGTTTACAGTGGATTCGTATCCATAGTTGTAAGCAAGTTTATCTCTATAGCGCCCAAATAACGGATCTCCCGAAAGTCGTAAGGTTTGATAATTTTTCGAATTCGGGATTTGGTTTTTCTATAGTCCTCATATAATGGTAGATCCAGATATTCGGTATTTTTATGATGTAAGTCACATTTTCTATCAGATTTGTTGCAAATTCGATACATGTAGTTCATTATGGGTTCTACAACCGGTGTCAACAATTTGTTCATATGGTCCACGGTTTCCATATAACTGTACCCACCGATAGTCGGTAGTTGATTCTAGCCATATTTTTGCGCTAAGCATTACGAAGGACAAACTGAAGCAAAGATGCTAAACAAAACAGCTTGAAAAACAGCAGTAGCTAAAAACCGAAGTGTTGTTGACAATTTGTGTATCGGAGGTATCGATAAAATTGGAAGATGCAGGCTTATTTTACCCTTTACCAAAAGGAAAACTTCTTTGCTCAGTTAGAATTGAAACTAAAAACAAAAGTTTTATTTTTAACTAAAAACTTAAGTGGTTATTAAAATGCTCACACTGCACTCGAGTAGGACAAGTTATCCGAAGGATTTCTAAAAGTTCTCCGACATGATTTAAAGTTAACAAAATTGACTTTCTTAACCAGGAAAAAAAAAACATTCGATAAACAGAATATTTTTTACAATTTTCGGCTCTAGTGTTTTCTAAACATATGGTTTGTTTTGATTCTTGATTAATTTCCCAAATGTTGCCATATTTACAGTAAATAATGAGATTTTCGTAATTCACCAAATCGATCGGAATCTGGAGAATGTCAACAACTACGATCGATATGAAATTACGAGGAATTTTCTAGTTGCCTGTATTTTTAATTTTAAAGATTTTTTACGGCCTCAAGAAATATATTTTTAGCCTTGTATGAATTTCAAAATTAACAATTGTTTGTGGTATAGGTAAAAATATTAGAATTATTGCAAACGTTATACTTACCTTGGCCATATCGGTTATTGTATTGGCATTATCCATTAATTTGCGTTGATCCATTTTAACTTTACGTAACCTAAATTTTATGTTTTCGAATGTTTCGATTTTCGTTTTTGTGGAGATTTATAGTTCAAAAGAATGAAAAAAAAATCGAGAATTGGAAAGAAAAGAAACCAAAATAATACGAAAAAAATAAACGAAAAAAGAAGCCATTATGAATAATAAGTTTAAGATGGTCATAGATTAATATGTTAGTAGAGTTGTGTACTTATTTTTTTGATACGTTTTCTACGCAATACTGTAGCAGTTGTTTTGTTTTTTTTTTGGTTTGGTTATTTTTGGGTTGAAAAATACTTTGCGATGGAAATATTAAATTTCGTCGTTAAGATTGCAGAAATATCGTATCTCAAAATGAACCTAAAGAAAAAAAAATATATAGAACGGCAAGTGGTCTTAGAAAACGACCGTTGTAGAGTTATGGGAGAACAGCGAGAAAGAGAGTGGGTGAGTTGGGTTGAAAAAACAGAGTGCTGTAGAGTTGGGTTGAATTATGTGAAAATATAAATTGGGGTTTTGTGTTAGCTTCCAGGGTGGGAGGGTCGAAAGTTTTCCTTTCTTTATGTCAAGACCTATCTACATATTAGTTTGTTGATGTTGTTGTGAGAGTTTTCCCTAGAGTTTAGTTTCTGCAATCTTAACTGTAACGAAATCTCTTTGAGAAACTAATATTCAAAGTGAAAATTGGAGTTTACATTCATGTGTAAGTCCACCACTAGTTGACGTACAAACATTTATGAGACCTGTGACAGTTCCACAGATCACTGGTTTCGTTCTGAGAAAGAGGGATAGGTTTTAAGGATATGTGTAAGAGAAATAGAAAGAGTGGGAAAGACATGGAAAGAAGGTTAGAGATAGATTTGGGATATAGCAATACAGACATAGACTAGAGAGAAAGAGACAGAGAAATTTTGTTGCAGGTTTAAAGAGTTTGATAGTTAAAGAGAGAGAGGGAGAGAGAAAGACAGATAGATATTGCATGTGAGTGAGAGTGAAATAAGTTGTAGCTAGTGAGGGAGTAAACTGTTCGGTTTTCTTATCATTTTTTTTTTTCGTTGTGGGTGTGGGGGGTTCCATAAAAGAGGTGCTGGAAAACATTTGACATGACCTTTTCCTTGAAGTTATTTTGAGATACGAATTTCTAAAAAATTAACGACTCTTCTTGTCTTTTCTTTTTGTTGTGTTTTGCCTTAAAGGATAATGGTTTTGTTAGTAGTTTTGTTTTTCAATTATTTTATTTTTCTTTGGTTAATCAACACAAATTTGTTTTGTAAATTTGGCTTTACAACCGAATTACAGGCTAGTAAAACGAGTTCTCAAACAAATGTAAGTGTGGCTGTTAGCCGAATTTTGGGTAAGCATAAGCAGCATTTTTCCACATAGAAGAAAATACGCTGCATGCTAACAGCAAACACTTACATTTACTAAAGCATTAACTTAAAGAGAGATATATATAGAGAGAGAGAGAAAGAGTGAGATAAAATGGAACAAAAATTCTTAGCACAAACACTTGTCTTAAGAAGTGTTTTAGACAGATTTGCCAGGCAATCAGGACAATCAGAGTCGGTCAGTTTTTTTTTGGGGAGGGGGCTACCCTTGAATTTGTAGGTCAATAAACACTAGTGCTTGAAACCGAGACAGTAGAGTGACTTTTTCTAGACGTAACAAGGTCAGGACAATACACACAAACACATATAGCTATTCAGACATGTATACGCACACACACACACACACATTGTCGTCTAGGGCGTGTGCTGTTTTTCTGCCATGGCCAAGAGTTTGACCGGCAAGAAAAAGAACAGGCTGCTTGTCATGCATGGTGAGAATCAATGGCTTAATCGCAACAGTGAATGGAAACAAGGGTCTTGAAACAAGCAGCAGCCTAAACGTCAGAATTATATCCTCACAAGCTCAAGCATTTGTTGGCAACCTGGTTGGGTTGTTAGAATGGTTAGTTGGCATTGAGAAGAAGTAGATTTCTCTGGCATTTTCTAGGTTTTTTTTTTTTGGTGTGAAGGTTAGTAAAGTCTTTAATTGCTCTTTGGATGGGATCATTGTAATTTTTCGATTTTTTTTTGCAGAAAGGATTGGTATTTTTTTGCTGTTTTAGTTTGATTTATTGTTTGATTTTTGTTGGTTGGTTGGTTTGGTTTGGTTGATGAATACTCACGCATAAATTGCTAGAAGGAACTTTCTTTGGTGGGTTCTTACACGTCCGGGATTAACCCGTTTTACTAGTCTTGTATGTTTGTAAATGAGCCAAGTTTCACGAAGAACATTCGCCGCAGCATTTTTCAGCTAAAAGATACATGTGTAAATTTATAGTAGTAGAATACATACATACGCATATAGGTTTTTGGAGAGTAATTTTTTTGTAATTAATTTTTTTTTAGGTTATGGAGAGCAGGATTTTTTAGTTAATTTGTAAAGATTTGTAAATTATATGTTATTATGGGAAAAGAATAGGAAAAATTTCATAAAATTCACACAAATAACAAACAAAAGAATAGAAGAATTTCAAAAAAAAAAAAAGAAAATTAATAAAAAGATGTTAGTATTTGTAACTATTGATAAGTAACTGGGAAGTCGGAAGCTAGTAATGATCTTCGTGATATGTATTATTACTAAAAATCATTACTACTTCTAAACGCAATCGATTTTGACGCATCATTATTGTTTCCAATGCTTTGGTCGAAAGTCGATCTATAGATCCCTTGTTAGTGATGTGTGCCATTGGCTTAAAAAGTATCAGTGAGAAAAAATTTTTGAAAATCAATTAAAAATAAACGAAAACATGACCATGACAAAACGTCAAACCCTTTACATGGCATTCTTAATAAAAATATTCAAATCTAGTTTCGAAAATTTTAAAAATATTGCATTTTTCTAATCTTTCCTGCTTTAAACAATTTCGTGGTTTCTCCCCTCCAATGGACCAGTGAAATACTTTTACACTTGTCCTTATGGCAATTTAAATATTTAAATTGGAAAAATATGTAAATAAATACATTTGCAAAACTATTAATGGCTGAAAAACAAGCTTTAAACTAAATAATAAAAAAAAAAACGAACACAACTTGTTTATTGGCAGAACAATCAATTAAATAAAACAAAAGGCCGTAACCGTGTTCATTCCATCCTTGCGGCTGTAAATCAAATTGTTACGGACCATTGCAGACGAACGTTGTTTTATTTAATGGCTCATTTAACAAATTAATTGAAATCAATAGCGAGTCGCACAATTTAATAAAACAAAGAGTACAACAACCAAAGGGAGACGTAACTAAAGAAATTTGAAGAATTTTAGTATGGAAATGGGACAAGTCAAAAGGTCCAACTATGGATCGAGAAGGAACGTTCGAAGCTTCGAAGCAGCAGGAACGAGTGAGTTTGAAGGAACAATTAAACTAAAAGAATTCTGATGGAGGACTTGGTTCATTTTTGAGGAAAGGCACGAGGAAGATATATCTTTAGTGCAATTCTCTAACAACAAGGGAAATCGCCTCTACAGTAGCTCCAAACGAAGCTTGTACTCTTAGCAAACAATTTTCTTTCATGCAATATATGATTTATTCTAAACTCAGCAAATTTCTATGCAAAAGCTAAACTCGTACAGCTTAAGGTGCAAGTACATAAAAAGCTTGAAGTCATGGCTAGGCATATTAATATCAAATTATAATGTACTACGACGGCAGGATTTTAGTGCGGCTCTGTAATCCCTTTATGAAAAGTCACAAAATATACCTAGCCATGACTTCAAGCTTCGTATGTACTTACACCCTTACATTTATACGGCAACCCTGTTTCGAACTGCATCCAACTTCATGCGACTGTTGGAAAATGTATTTGGACATGGTAGAAGAATATAGGTAGACGCATCGACACAGCTGCTGGGACAATGAACTGTCAAACAAATTTTGGGATTGAAAATGTTGAATGAAAAATTTTTTAAATTTGTAAAAATTGTTGAAAAACTCGTATTATAATAACCTCCGAATATAGTCGTATAAGAAAACATATAAAAAATCTACTTATATTTGAAAATATATTTAAAATTTTTTGACATATCAATGCTCCCAATCGTTGATGCATCTATCTGTATTTTTCTACCATGGTATTTGGAGAAGTCCCTAAAAGGTAATTTATCACAAAATTTCCACGTGTTGTGTAATTTGCTGATGTAAATATTAATAAAATATAAAAACTGGGAAGACAACGAGGACAAATTACTGTTGAAGTGAGAAATTTAGTACTTAGCCATTATAAAAACCATAAATTGCTAAGTGAGATATCTGAGATTGTTAATAGAAGCCGATCTACAGTTCGTACAGTACATCATAAAATGGTTCAAAACAAATGGATGTGTAGAAAATAAGTCAAAAACGGCAAATAATAAAAAAAAATTCCCTTAGTGATGAGAAGTATATTTTACGGCAGATCAAAAGGAATCCATTTTAGTGCAGTGCACCGGAGCTCGCAAAATTGCTGAAAAGGGTTTGGGAAATGTAGGTTGCAATCAAACAATAAGAAATATATTGCATAAGTCGAATTACAATGGAAGAAGAGCTAGACATAAATCTCTAATCAGCTTGCGATATCAAGAAGTAAGATTGCGATTTGCCAAGGAGCACATATCAAAAGATTTTTTCAATTTGGAAGAATGTGCTGTTCACAAACGAGAGCGAGTTTAACCTTTTTGGTTCAAATGACAGACCGACCTTATGGAGAAAGGCAAATGAATCACTCCTTGCCGAAAATATAAAGCCTACAGTGAATCACGATGGTGGTGGTCACTAATGGTGTGGGGTTTTGCTTTTCAGCCTCTGGACCTGGTGTATTGCATTTTATTGAGGGTATTATGGATCAGACTATGTATCTTAACATTTTGAAAGAAAGTTTGCCACTCTGTAAGGAAAAGCTCGGCCTTGGCGAAGATTATTATTTTTATCAAGACAATGATCCGAAACACAAGGCTTATAAAGTAAGGCCATGACTGCTATATAATTGTCCCCACGTCCTGGATACACCAGCGTCCAGTCATAAACCCAATAGAGAATTTATGGAGCTATCACGATGGAGAAATCCGCCAGCATACCATATCTTGCAAAGAAGATTTGAAGAAAGCTTTAAACTAGCTAGGTAAGGAAAATCTCGGCCTTGGCGAAGATTATTATTTTTATCCAGACAATGAGGCGAAACACCAGACTTATAAAGTGCGGTCATGGCTGCTATATAATTGTTCCCACGTCATGGTTACACTAGCCCAGAGTCCAGACATAAACTCCATAGAGAATTTATGGAGCTATCTCGACGGAAAAATCCGCCAGCATACCGTATCTTGCAAAGACGATTTAAAGAAAGCTTTGTTGGAAGAACGGCAAAAAATTGAACAAAGCTTTTGCGAAAAACTTGTTAAAAGTATGTCAAATAGGCTACAAATTGTAAAAAAGTAGAATGCTTAAAAAATATTAAGTCTAGATATACTTTAAATTATACGAAGTGTATGAAGTTTGACTTGGCATTGAAATATGATCTCGTTTAATATTTATTTACTTTAAATGTATTAAAAATGTTAAGTTTTTTGGCTTTTTAATTAGTTACATAGCATACTAATAAAATGTAAAAAAATATATTTTTTGTAAATTTTAATTTTTGGAAATTATAAGAAAAATAAAAAAAATCTTTTTAGCTGTACGAGTTTCGCTTGGAGCTACTGTATATCCAAAATTTAATATCTGAATTAAACGTTTTATTTGCCTTATTCTAATATTTAAAAAAAAATCCAAACTAAAAAATGACATAAATAATCAATTAAGTGCAAATACCATCTTTGTTGCATATATTCTGTTTGTTTATGTATTTGACATTTGCTGTCATCGACATAATTGCCAGGGTAAATATTAACATTGTTATGGCCATAGTTATGGTCATATGCTCTGTCATGGTCATGTTTTATACAATTATAATTAATAATAATTATTATTGTAGTTGTTAATTAAATAGGTGAAGTGAAACGTTATTTAATTATTGTGTAATGCAATGTTAAGCTGAATTCAATATTAACCAGTAAAGAAAGTCTTAAAGTCGGGCGGGGCCGACTTTATGATACCCTACACCACTTTGCTAATTTAGTAGAGCTCCACATAACAATTAAAAGTTTTTATGGGAGAATTCAATCATACACGCTATGATTATAATTATAATTTAAAGTTCAAAGGACTAAACATGCCGAAGCATGTGCACAATTAATTTGAAATCGGATAAATATATATATATGGGAGCTATATCCAAATCTGAACCGATCTCGATAAAATTTGGCAAAGATATTTCTGAGCTGTTCCAGGCCTAATTTAGGTGTATATGCAAAATTCCATACAATTCGGGCTGATAGTACACGTTTGGTGCACAATAAAAGGCAAATCGGACGAAGATATATATGGGAGCTATATCTAAATTTTGACCGATTATCTCCAATTTCAATAGGGTTCGTCCTTGGGCCAAACAAATGATCTGTGCAAAATTTCATCTGGATCGGGCAATAAATGCGACCTGTACTTTGTTTACAAAAATACATGGACAGACGGACGGACGGACGGACGGACGGACAGACGGACGGACGGACATGCATAAATCGACTCAGAATGTGATTCTATGCAGATCATCAAAAGGAACTATGGGTCTATCTCGTTTCCTTTTGCCTGTTACAAACAAATGCACAAAGACATAATACCCTGACCACCTTGTGGTGTAGGGTATAAAAATTATAAACGCTAGCAACAAATTGAATAAGTTGGAAAAATATAGTCATAGGAAGGATATTAAATAGATGATGGAGCGGAGAGGGGAAATTAGAGTAGCAGAGGTAGACATTGGCGTGGCTAGGAATCATGTTTCATGGGGACGTACGTTTGGGTTTCCCAAATCTTTTTTTTTTCGAATGATTTCTAGTTACGCCAAGGCTAATGCCAGCTTGAAAATAAACACATTTTTTATAAACATTTTTAAAAGAAATTAAGTAAGAATAGTTATAGGAAATAGTAGCTTAAAACATAACAAAAATTCCACAGAAAATAAAAATACAACAGATTCGAAAGAAATTTTCAAAAAACGTAATTAAAGAGTTCAGAGAAACAACAACAACACGAAACAAGAGAGTGTGTTGGACAACATTGAACTTTGAAACAGAATTTAAATACCCTTTTTGTTAACTGAGTATCCATCATAAAGTTGTGCACATGCTTTTCTGCTCTTGTCAATTCCAATTTTCTGGATACGACCGCCACTAGAAGAGCCGTACAACCGGCACCCTGTAAAAAGTGAAAGAAAAAACAAGAAAATACAATTAAAACAAAACTGCTTTGCAATTACAACTGCTGGGTTATGGGTAAAACAGTTAAAAATTATTCCTTCCAAGCATCTCGTTGGGAATTGCCAGTCACTGTAAAGGGGGGGAATATCATCGTTTTATTATATATAAATGTATGTTTGGTATGTATGTATGTTGTGTCCAGTCTAAAGTGTTGATTTTCGTCAAGTGTTTTGTTTGTGTATTGTTCGTCCATTCACAATAAAAAAAAAGAATCAAATGGTCTTCTCTATCCTGCCGTAAATAATAAATGCTCTTAAAGGTCTCGAGTCATAGATCGTTGATTGTTGGCCAAGCGAAACCATTTGACATTGTGGCACAGTGGTACGGAATTAAAGAAAACCTCAAAAAAACATATTTATTTGCGCAGAAATTAGATTTCAGCGTAATTTTGTGTGTATGAACATGGCATAAGAATATAAGGCAACAGCTATGTCCCAATTATCAGGAACCCCATCAAGAACAGCTGATTACCAAATTTAATGCCAAAATGGATTGTTGTGATTCAAATCATAACACAAAAAATAAACAAATAAATTTAAAGTAACATTTAGTCTGATTTTCAATAGTTGATGACCTGAATAAATTGGACCATGGATATAAAAAAATGCATTAAAAAAATAGAAATTGCCATTGGATCATTAAATAAAGTATTAGATGCTCGAGGAGAGCTTTTTTGTATCCGATTTTTTGAACAATTGTTCATATGAACGTTACAGACCACAGGAATAAATTAGATCTTTAATTGGTTTAGGCTATAAATTGTTATGTACAGTTTACGGACGAGAGCAAATTCAACCTTTTTGGTTCAGATGGCAGACCTTATGTATGGAGAAAGGCAAATGAAGCGCTCTTTGCAAAAAAAAAAAAAAAAAAAAATGAAATCTACAGGGAAGTACGGTGTTAGGTCAGTAATGGTGTGGGGTTAATTTTCAGCCTCTGGACCTGGTGTATTGCATTTTATTGAGGGTATTATGGATCAGACTATGTACCTTAACATTTTGGAAGAAAGTTTGTCACTCTGTAAGAAAAAGATAGGCCTTGCCGAAGATTATTATTTTTATCAAGACAATTATCCGAAACACAAGGCTTATAAAGTGAGGTTATGGCTACTATATAATTGTTCCAACGTCATGGATACAACAGCCAAGAGTCAAGACATAAACCCATTATTTTCCATATTCCATAGGGAATTTATGGAGCTATCTCGATTGAAAAATCCGCCAGATTTGAAGAAAGCTTTGTTGGAAGCGCTTCATTTCCAACGCACAATGGCCACCAAAATCTCTGGATACAAATCCATTGGACTATGGTGTCTGGAGTATTTTGGAAAGCAAGGTTGGCACTAAAAAATACCAAAGTGTCGATCACCTCAAGCAAGCGCTTTGCCGGGAATGGGCCAAAAAACCGCAGAGCAACATTCAGGCAGCGTGTGACGGTTTCATTGGCCGTTTGAAGGCCATAATTCGTGCCAAAGGTGAACAATTCGAACAAATCTAAAATTATTCTAAAATTTAATGCTATTTCCGACATATGTTTGCTTTTATTCAATAAAATTAAAAAAAAAATGTAGAAATTATGGCGTTTGACTTTGTTGCAGTTTTTTTTTATCTCACCCTGTATTTTTAGTTCAAGGATGCTAACACTTTATGCTGCTGGAGACGCATTCATAATAAGGAATATTCTCACATAAAAATGCGCTCAGCTGGGGAGTAAATATAGATCACGACAATTGTGTGCTGTGTTAGACCTATGCACAGAATTAGAAATGCCAAGTGTTGTAGTCTTAAGCAGATGCAGATAAAACTAAACCCGCCTAAGATTTCTCTTGTGTCTTAGCACTTAAGTAATATGTATTTTTCTCAATAAAATTAGAAATAAACTGACAAACGAACCAACAAGCCGTATAATTTGATTTTCCCGCTAACATATGGCCCTGGGAGCCGGATACGCAATAGAATTCATTCTACAGCCAAACCATTCGGTTGTGTTTCTCTTCTCAAATACATTGGTCCTTTGAGCCGGCTTGAGAATTGAAACTACAACCAAGCAAAGCGGTCGTGTTCTTTTCTCACTTTCTACAGGGATCCCTCGAGTAGGATAGAGAATTGAAATTACACCCTAACGATACGGTCGGGTTTTCTTTCTCATCTTCTACATTTAGTCCAGTCGAACCAGATAGAGAATTGAAATTATACCCTAATGATACGGTCGGGTTTTCTTTCTCATCTTTTACATTTGGTCCAGTCGAGCAGGATACAGAATAGAATTGAAATTACACCCTAACGAAGCAGTTGTGTTTCTTTTCTCGCCTTCTTACATTTGGTCCAGTCGAGCCGGATACAGAATAGAATTGAAATTACACCCTAATGAAGCGGTTGCGATTCTTTTCTCGTCTTCTTACATTTGGTCCTTCGAGTCAATAACATCGAGGGTACCACAGGAAATTATTCTGGGGTCAATTCTTTACGCTATATACTCATATGACATGCGTCAAAATAAAAACTACTTTTTCGGAACTTTTGAAGACGACACCGTCCTCATGGCGACAGGAGAAGATACAGCCGAAACTGTAAGAAAACTCCAGTTAGCTCTGAACAGTGTTTATTAATTGACCATAAAGTGGGATCTTTATCTAAATTTTTCACCACTGTATATAAACTCTAATCAGGTTCCGTACGGGAAAATAAAGAATTATCTTGGAATAATGAGAAACAAGAGAGAGAGAGAAAGATGAATTGGACATGTGCTACTGAAACTCAAATTGGTTAATGGAAAGATATTCTGTCCTATCAATTGATTATAAGATAATGATCTGCCAACAAGCATTAAAGCCAATCAGGTTATACGGGATCCAGCTGTAGGGCAGTTCAAGCTGATTGCTTGCAAGTTTTTGCCAGAATTCCGTCGGTTTACTTTACATAGTTTTCTTGCAAAAGAGAATATAACTTCCTTACTCTCTCTTTCCTTCAAAAAAAAAAGTTGCTGGAAAATTCCTGCAGGAAATGTAACCAGACACACCTAGTTTCACACCACTGTGTTACGCTTTGGCCTCCATTGGACCTTATTTAATCCGTGAGTTTTTAGCGCCGCCAGCCTTTTATATTCGCCATCGCTTTCGTATGACTTCATTTAAATGATGTTCGTACACTTCCGTTTCCGTGTTAATACAGTTGATTGCTTTTTCCAGTCGTCTGACAAAGATTTAAAAGCCACTTTGTCGTATTTGTCCGTATGTCCAGTTTTATAACAATGCTGCAATCCGACGACAACAACAACAACAATAAAGCCATTTTCGATTGTATGGATGGAATGGAATGGCAAACTTAACACTTTCCACTTCACTTTTGATCTCTTAGTGTCGTATGTATGTATGTATTTATCTTGTCTATGGATTATAGATGCTTATAAGCTCACACACACACATACATAGTTCTACTTGGAAACACAGCTGGCTGTCAATTTATATTAAGTCTACATGTGTGCTGAATAGAACGAGAGAGACACAGAGAGTGTCATTAAATTTTTAAAACTTTATTTAATGTTTTAGATAAGTGAGACATTATGGGAGTAAGTACCTATGCTTAGCATACAGTAGCTCCAAGCGAAACTCGTACACTTAGCAAACAATTTTCTTTTATTGGAATATGATTGTTATCAAAATCCACTACCAGGAGAAACCTATATTTTTTTATTAGTGTAGAGGGTACTAGAACTAGTCGAAGAACGGAAAAGTTCACTGTTTTTAATTATTTAATAAAAATAATGACATTTATTCTAAAGCTCAGCAAATTTCTATGCAAAAACTAAACTGGTACAGCTTACATTTATACGGCAACCCCGTTTAGAACTGCGTCAAACTTCACGCGATTGTTGGAAAATGTATTTGGGGAAGTCTCTCAAAGCTAATTTATCACAAATTTCCACGTGTTGTGAAATTTACGGATGTTAATATTAAAAAAAATAAATAAAAAAATGGGAAGTCTGTTGAAGTGAGAAATTTAGTAATTAAACATTACAAAAACCATAAATCACTAAGTGAGATATCTGAGATTGTTAAAAGAAGCCGATCTGCATCATAAAACGGTTCAAAATAGATGGATCTGTAGAAAATAAGTCAAATACGGCAAATAATAAAATATTTACCTCGAGTGATGAGAAGTATATTTTACGGCAGACCCCAAAGGATCCATTTTTGTGCAGTGAACCGAAGCTCGAAAAAAATTGCTGAAAAGGATTTGGGAAAAGTATGTTGCCCTCAAACAATAAGAAATATACTACACAATTCGAATTAAAATGGCAGAAGAGCTAGAAATTAACCTCTAATCAGAAGGCGAAATCAAGAAGTAAGATTGCGACTTTCCAAGGAGAACATATCAAAAGATTTTTCATTTTGGAAGAATGTGCCGTTCACAAACAGGAAGCACGGTGGTGGGTCAGTAATGGTGTGGGGTTTATTTTCGCCTCTGGACATGCTGTATTGCATTTTATTGAGGATATTATGGATCAGACTATGTACCTTAACATTTTGAAAAAAGTTTTCCACTCTGTAAGGAAATTCTCGGCCTTGGCGAAGATTATTATTTTTATCAAGACAATGATTCGAAACACAAGGCTTATAAAGTGCGGTCATGGATGCTATATAACTGTCCCCACGTCATGGTAACACAAGCCCTTAGCCCAGACATAAATTCCATAGAGAGTAAAGTCAAGAAGTAAGATTGCGAAATCAAGAAGTAAGATTGTGATTTGCCAAGGAGCACATATCAAAATATTTTTTATTTTGGAGTAAATTCAACCTTTTTGGTTCAGATGGCCGACCTTATGTATGGAGGAAGGCAAATGAAGGAGCGCCAAAAAATATGAAGCCTACAGTGAAGCACGGTGGTGGTAGTAATGGTGTGGTGTTCATTTTCAGCCTCTGGACCTGGTGTATTGCAT